TCATAAAATAATTTTAGAACATATATCATATTTTCGTCTTAACATCACATAAATCATATTATTTTTACGGTTTATAACAAAAATTGATGCACATTACCTGTGATATCCCACGTTGGTTGGGGAGGAGAACGAAACACTCTCTGTAAGGGTGTGGAAACCTTTTCGTAGCAGACACGTTTAAAAGCCTTGAAGGGAAGTTCGAAAGAGAAAGCCTAAAGAAGACAATATCTGCTAGCGGTGGGTTTGGGCCGTTACATTTGGTATCAAAGCCAGACACCGGGCAATGTGCTAGTGAAGAGGCTGTTCCCCGAAGGAGTGTAGACACGAAGTGGTGTGCCAGTAAAGACGCTGGGCCCTGAAGGTGGTGGATTTGGTGGTGGTCCCACATCGAGAAAGGACCGAGTGTCAGCAAAGACGCTGAGCCCTGAAGGGGGTGAATTTTAAAGCCTGGAGGAGAAGCCCACAAAACACCCTTTATATACGAAACAATGGTGTGGAAACCTTTCCTTAGCACACGTGTTTTAAAGCGTTGAGAAGAAGCCCAAAAAAGACAATATCTACAAACGGTGGGCCTGTAGGCAAAATAATTTGTCTTTTGGTGGAGGAGACAGGTGAACGTGCGTGGAATAAGTAAAGATAACATCAATAATTCACATTTCAAATTACTACCATGATAGTGTAGTGAGGTTTGGGTTTGAAAATTTTGTACTTATTTGTTTCCCTTTCAAATAATTCGTTTTCGTTCTTTCATTCGCGATCAAATAATTGGTTTTAGTTCTTATCCTAGTTTCATATTCTCGTGTTCCTTGTTAGATACTTCAAAAATATGATCGAATTGTTACTACGTGCGTATCGTCGAAGCAGCTCTAAAGACAAAAATCCATTAAACGAAAAACTCTCTCTAACTTACTTCAAAACTTCGATCGTGAGGACAACAGTAAAATATCGATTTTTTTTTTGTGGAATAGTATCCCTATTCTCCAATATTACGTAAATCCAATTCGTGAAGGAAGAACGATCATCAGAGTGGTCATGCTGATAAGTCGAATTTCTAAATTCTTATTTTTCGTCAAATTACACCCACCTTGTTACAATTTATCGATTTGGGTTAGAGGAATAAGAAAACCAAAGATCAAATGTTCAATCTGTAAGGTCGATCTCATGTTAACTCGCTCTCTTCTTTAATCCCTCTTTTTGGTTACCAATAACAAGGGACGTGTGTGCTCTGTGAACCTTGTACGTGTCATGTTTTATAATTGTTTAACGTGTGTTACGTTATATTTATGCTATGATATAAGTTATGTCATGATACAGTTATGCTATGTTTTGAAATTATGATGCACGAACCTTCATATGCCACACCATGTAAACTGTGTAAACATGTTCACTCGATGTCTATAAGACATTGATAAGTCATTTATATCCATCATAAAAGATATGACTAGTACTACGTACGTTTGTCTCATAGGGATACTATGTCATGAAAATAATGTAGATATGACATCATTTAAAACTATGGAGACCTATTCCCATGAAAGAATAGGCGGGGCTTATATACAAACTGACTGGTAGGTCCATACTCGCACGTATGAACCATATGTAGAACAGTAAATACACATCTAATTAACTCGCTCGGGATAGCCACCTAAAGAATATAGACTGATATAATAGGTCTCATTCATGATTGTATCAGCTTGCATCTAAATCCGCATCTAACCCCAATAGTGGGGTTACTTGCTAAGTATTTCTTAAAATACTCAAGTCATGTGCTACTCTTATTTTTTCTAGGTAAAGGCAAGACTCCCCTATACGGTTGACGGTGACATCACAATTCGAGACCATGATACATGCATAGGGTAGTTATATTTATTTTCTTAGACTTAGGTTAGAATATGGTTTTTTTTTTTTTTTTTTACCTATACTATTTATTTATTTCATTTAGTATTTCGTTGTGTCATTTTAAGGATGTTTTTGAACACGTAAGTCCATGACAGTGTTTTAAGATGAAATTTATGTTTTATGAAGTTTAAACACTCATTTCCGCACAAAAATAATTACATGACAGTAGCGACTCTAGGTAATAGAGTTTTGTGTATATTAAAGAAAACCTAACCGAAGCCCATTTGGATTTTAATTATGGGCTTTCCATGTGAAAGTGAAAACAATCTTAACAAATCTCTTCCTTTTTACTATTTGGGAGTGAACAAAGCTCTAACGAGCCATGTCTAGGATTTGTATCTCCCGTAACATTGTCAGGTTACTTACTCATTGCTTTTAAGAGTGAAGATTATCCGCACAGATCAACATCGAGTCCTTCCAGCATATTTTGTCTTTACTCATATGTAATATACGAAAATTCTCAAGAGGTCACCCAACATATAATTGCTCAAAGCAAAACACGCTTACTTTTAGAGTTACAATGATCGAGCTACCGAAAAACAAGATGTACCTTCTTTTTCAGTAGCTCAATCATAAAAGCTCCAAAATTAAGCCCCAAAATATTAACGGTATCAGTAATAATATATTTTTTTAATTTTTTTTTTAAAAGTTCAAAGGTATTATTTTTAAAGTTTCATCAAAACCCTACTAAATAGAGCGTTTAAAGCTCACGGTTCTAGAAACGGTTGAGGTCGAGGGCACGAAATTTTGGTAGTTAATATTCCCCATGATGGGATGTGGCTGATGATGAACACATACAAAAGAGGGACAAAGCCAAATAGAAGGACGATATGACATATATTGTGTTATATCCTATGGTTCACACAATATTATATATTATTATTATCATAATGTGACTAAATAGTGCATAGAAAGCATCCATTCATCACTACTATTTTGATTTTATCCCATAAGGTTGGTCCACAAGTGAAGACCTTTTAACATAAACCCTAACTTTCACGTGAATTTTCAAGATATATGGGGTCGTGATTATTATTGGAATGTCGAGTTCTTGTTTCCTTCGTGGAAATACCCGTTTGAGAGGACGAGTCATGTATATAGGTCGGATAGTTTAGCCGGTTAAGATGTAAGAGTATGAATTCTAATATTTTTGGAAATAAAGAACTACCGAGACAGAAGGAGCTCAAGGTGGAAATAGTTCCGAGCCAAACGAGCTCTAGGAAAGCTTTTGGACTGGGTTCAACCTCTTTCGGTCTAACTTCTGAGGAGGAACGAAAATCCTCTTTCAATTCCAATCTTACAAAGGAAACTCTAAAATCTACGTCGTAACACTTTTCTCCGTTATGACTTAAACATTGAAGTGTACCCGTGGTAAGTATTGTGCTCGTGTGTTATTCTTTATTTTGTAGGTCTCCTCTTTTTCGTACCGAACAAATTTTTCTGTTGAAACATGTGCTAGTTAGATGATACCCTTTGTCGGAATTTGTGCTTTAATTGTCGTTATTGTGAAAAAAAATGGAAGTGTTCTACTTTTGCAAATCAAAATCGAGAAAGTGAAAATCATGTTAGATGATAACCTTATGAACACGTAAAATTGTAAGATTGATAAAGTCAAGCTTGAATGATTCTAAGCACGGAACATGAACTACATAGAATTGCAAAGAAACTTAGCTCTAGACTAAAAGATATAACGGACCTTATTTTTATTACATTTTTCAAGTCTCTTTACGAGGAGAACAAATACGGATTTATATAGGCTCAAAATGAACCCTTTTTCAAGAGTTGTAACATTGTCACAACCTGATTTTCAAGGCTTCGTAAACAAGGACCGAGACTAACACATAATGCAATGAAAACATGTATAAACGACAATAGTGAAATTACGATAAAATTTTAAAATGTATGAGATGTCCAAGTAGTTTATAAAAGAGGGAACGAGATCTGAATACAAAATAGTTGTAATTACAACCCACGAAAATTTAGAAAACATAATGGCCCAGGTCGACATCCCTCTATAGCTGCAGAGCTCTGAATCACCCCTTCACCTCGACCAACGACCTACTTGCAAGTTCTCATTGCATTCTTAATCTAGCAGGTTTCCACGAGCTTTACTCTAGGCCACAGGAAGTTCGAGCCTAGTTTCTACTGCCAGATGAGCATTTTGGATGCCTTGAAGTTTCGAGCATCTTTGATAAGAATCTTACCTTCTAGGGGTCTGTGCATGTTCTACAACCTTTCTGTTTTTTGACTTACGTAGCTTGCGTTACTTACACAATGAAGGTCGAGGTGCTACCTCATAAAGTTCTAATGGATTAGTATAGTGTCGGCTAGTCTTAACATCATCCACGGGAGTTTAGCTTGCAGATCTTCCCACAAGACCATAAAGTCACCTAAGTTTGAGGGGAGTGATCCCGTGTGCCAGTCAGGTACTAGGTTAACCTTTGTGATCCCACACCCCCTAGCCATTTCCAGACACTATATCTTCCGACTAAACTAACGTTTTATAAGGTAGTATTTGTTTTCGTCTTTAAAAATGAATTATTTAGGAATTAAAATTAAAAACTATAATATATCCAAAACTAAATAATTAAGCACACAATACAAAGGAAGGAAGTTTCATAGAGAAGAGTTCAAATTTTATTTTGTTTTTAGAATGAACAACAGAATATGTGAATATGAAAAGGAGACAACCACAAAAAAACATGAGACAGGACATAGTGGAGGGGTCTATCAATGTTTTTTTATTTTTATTGACGTTAATGATCGTAATGAATGTCCCAACTACTTGCATGCATCCAAGTATCAAATTCTATTGGAACGAGGAGGAGTGAGTATCGATTAATTTTAGAGTGGAGGGTTCTGTGGGCCGAGCAACAAGTCAAATTAAATAATTGATGTTCATCACTTGGTCGAATTGATAAATGTACGAGCTCAAGTAGAGCTACATTTGTGGAACATGGCTGTGAAAACAAGGTAGCATAACTTCTATACTAAAACGCCATCTAACAACTCGGATTCAATCCCTCAAGTTGAGATCACCCAACACCGTCGAACGAACTTCTCAGAACTTAGAACAAGTGAATCAGACAACAGAGGAAAGGAAAGAAAAAAACCAATTGAAATTTCCTATGTTACTCAAAAGTGTGATTGTGAACACAATTTCTTCTACATATTCACCCAGATTGTACATATCACAAGCAAGAATCGGTGAAGAAATGACTTCATCATCATATTTCTACTTCATATCTAACTCTTCCCCATCATATTACCATTCAGATCTTTCTTCCTTTTTCTTGACTTGGAGCATCATCATCCATTATACAGGATAAACAAAAAGAATAAGAAACAATTAAATCATATTACCATTTGGAATTCATCTCGTCAACCAAATCACGACCACGCCATGGCTTACTGGTTGCATGCCAAGATGAACTCCGAAGAACACCACCAATATGAAGCTTTCCTTCAAACCAGATAACCTAACCATTCTCCCCTTCCTCTTACAAAAATCATCAAATGAATTTAGAAAAGTTCCTCCGAATTAAATTTGTTCCACGCCTCCTGCCATCACGGTATAGACATCTTTAATAAGTGCAATCGAGATCACAAAATCCGAAACACAACAGAGAAGAGATAAGATAGTAGAAACTGAGAGTTTATAGAGACATATTTTTGTTTTTGAAATTTGACTAAGAACTGAAATGTAATTGCAAGTATGGTAAAAAACATATTATCGAAATCGAGTGTAAGTAGGCATAACTAAAAAAATCAGTACCCAACTACAATAAAATCGTCTATTGAAGTGCTCATATAACATCCAATAACTAACAGGAAACATTGTGAAATATCAAATATTGCAGTAGTTGAAATTTTGAGTTAGATTATGGCTTTTCTTATCATTATCAAACTATATATTACTCTGAAGTACCTTTAAAATGTCAAACACCTTCTCAGCAACATACTTTTGCTGAAGAGTGGCACCTTTTTGCTGCACCTTATCGGGGTGAATGCACAGTGTTGCTTTCCTATATGCTTTCTTGACTGCATTTGGAATAACCATCTCAGTCAAAGAAACTGGCTGCCACCCACACTCAGGCCAGAGCACCTATTATAATTCAACAGTGAAAAAAACAGGTAAACCAACCAGTCAATCAGAACAGTATTCTCATGCCATGTTAACAAAGAACAATTCATTCTGACACCTAGCCTCTTATAATACCATTTGAATTCTTTATTCTAAATGAAATGCTTGCAAGGTTCTTTAGCTAATAAATCCACAATGAGTTTTGTTAATATCTTCAAAATATAGGTACTCACAAAAAATTGAGGAACACGATGGTTTGGGTTGGATTATAAGATGATATTAGGTTAATTTAGATTCAAATCAGTTCAACAAGATTGAATGGGTTCAGTTCAAATGATCCTTCATTATTCAAGTTTGAACTGAAAAAAACTTATGAAGTTAAAATGTTTTGAGGTAAAGAAAGTGAAGGCCCACATGCTCTCAGGATTTATAATGATTTCAGATGATGCAATAAAGCAAAACTAAAATGCTGACGAAGAACATACATATTGCAAAGTTGATAAAAGAGCACGTAAATTGCCCTCCTTCCCGGCAGCCCAACGCTTGATCTCAGAATCCAGTGTTTCAGAAATTCTCTGCAAACATAATATTGAGGGAAAATCTAATGAAATGCTTGCTTCTTAAAAAAAAAAAGGTTTCAAATTGCAAGATTGTTCTATGTAATATAAAGATATAGAGTGGCAGAAAATGTTAAATAGTTTCTTCCACTTCATCATCATCCGGATATAGCATGGGGAAAAACAAGCAATTTCAAGAATATCAAACAGTTAGTAGCTTCAGATCATGGTAAATTTTTCAGGACTTCCAATTTGAAATTAAGTTCTAGACTGCAGTGACCATCACCTGACTAAAACAAATTTCCTTCCAAGTTTTTTGGTTGGTTTACAAATCGAGGTGTCATTACACCATTTTTCTAACCAGATTATATCAAGTACTTCAAATATTTCATTGATAAATCTATGTTAAGTCTCAGAAAATTACGAGAAAAGTAAATGAAAACAAGATGTGGCAGATAACAACAATATGAAAAACTAGGTTTTCTCCAATCCTCTTGAACAACACAGATTCAGGACAATAAAACCCTAGTTCTAGCACGCACAAAACATAAATGGATGAGCTCAAAAATGGAAAAGAAACAAAGGCAATAAATATCAAGAACATGCACTCACATGTCTCTCGGCTTGTTCCCTCTGCATTTGAAGATCTCGCTCATTTTTCTCAGCAAGAGCTTTAGCCTGAAACAAAACATACAAATTTGAAAAAGCTCTTTAAAGCAGAGCACATTGTAAGGGCAACAGCATAAATAGATTATAATCAAATATAAGTCCATACGGACTATAAAATGTAATACAGTAGTTCTAGTTCCAAGTGTTTTATCTCTTTTGTCAGTGTCAATCTGTTTTGTAACGCATATTTAAACAGAAAGCACACAAGCATACCGCACGTGATTGGACCCTCTGGTGGCGTTCCAACCTGGCTCTTCGTCTTTCCTCACTTTCCCCATCAACTTCCTGGAATTCTCCAGAAGATGGAGGACCTTTGCCAAAACAAACACTAAAAGTCAAGGACTGTGATAAAAAAGGTTCAAGTTCTACGCTGAAACTTTGTCAAATATAGTATTCAGATTGTAGAAGTACCTCCAAAAATAGCTGAAAGATCATCAACAATATTAGTGGCTGAAGATGCTTTCCTCAGATTTGATGATGTGGCAGAAGATGGTTTAGTTGTCTCAGACGCTGGTCTACTTGGAGGTTGGGCATCAAAGAAGTTATCCTGAAAAAAACAATCAGTAGGTAACCAGAGATTGGAAAGGAAGCAAGGGCAGCCTCAGAAGATTTACAAACTCTAGTCCTCACCATAGGGTTGGCCCTAGGCCTAGGTGCACTACTGGCTCTACCCATGCTAAAAAATGACTCAAGGTCATTTTCAGCCTTCTGTTGGCTTGCCCTGGCTGCAGCAGCAGCCCTCTCTCGAGCGTCTACAGCAGCCCTTTCTCGAGCCTCTGCAGCAGCTCTTTCCACAGCAGCTCGCTCTGCCCTACTTCGTGCTTCAGCTTCTGCCCTCGCAACAGAAGCTCTCTCTCGTGCTTCCCTCTCTTTTGCTTCTGCAGCTGCCTTTTCTGCTTTTTCCCGTGCCTCTGCTGCAGCCCTTTCTGCTCTTTCCCGGGCCTCTGCTGCAGCCCTTTCACGAGCTTCAGCTTGAGCTCTCTGAACTGCAGTCCTTTCAGCACGTTCTCGAGCCTCCGCATTTGCCTTTTCAACAGCAGCCCTTTCAGCTTTTAAGCGAGCTTCAGTAGCTGCCCTCTCACGTGCTTCCCTTGTGGCCCTTTCAACAGCCTGTCTGACTTTTATCCTTTCCATCTCAAGCTCCCTAGCTCTCTCCCTTTCCTTCTCTAACCTTCTTTGTTCTTTCTCCCTCTCCTCTCTTTCCTTCTCAAGCTCCCTCGTTCTTTCCCTCTCTTTTTCAACTCTCCGTTTCTCCTTCTCCTTCTCTTCCCTTTCCCTTTGGAACCGTTCATGATCCAAACTCTCCTCATCTTCAACTCTCTCATTTCGCATGCCTTTCTCCTCTCTATCCCAATATACAGCTTCTTTACTTCTAGAAGTTCTTGTACTCTCTCTCTCCCTCACTTCCTTGGCATGCTTAAACTTCGCCTCTGCTCTATCCATTGCCTCCTTCATGGCTGCAGCAGCAGAATTCATCTCTAATTCTTCACTAGAAAGACCGTTGACTTGTTCATCAGCATTACTTTGATTTCTTCCCATGGCAAATTCCTCAAGTTCATCAATTGAAGATACTTGATCTCCCACTGAAGCAGAGGCAGGTTTAGGAATCTGAAAATGATGTGTAGAATTGGGAAATGAAGAAAAGTCATTAGCATTCATCTTTGAACTTCGGGAGCCAGACAAACCCATTCCTTCTTTTGGAACCTGCTGTGGTATAGGAGGTGGTGGTCTTGAAGGGGGTGGTGCAATAGTGGGTTGTGTAAAAAGAGGAATCTCTGATACAGTGAGCCATATTTCATCAGGTTCAACATTATCTTCAAATCTAGATGTATCCCCCATCACATTTTCATCTTTTGAAGCAGGAGGAGATGTTGATTGAGGCATAAATTTGTGAGAATTACTCGAAACTGTAGGAATATCAAACATAGGCTGATCATCTTGTCTATCATTCTTAGCAGACACATCCTTCTTCAAAGGTTGTCCAGAAGTTCTTCCAGATTGTTTTTCCACAGTTTCTTTACTGTTAGAATTTTGAGGCCCAGCAGCATTTCGGTCTACCCTAGGAGGACTCCTAGCCATATCTCTATTACTGCCTTCTGATGAAAATGCTGGGACAGATTTACCAAGGCTAGCAAATGGGTCCATATCATCAAAAGCTTTATTATTTGCATCTGAGGAAGGGTAACCATCAAATTTTGGGCTTTTAAAATTACCAATGTCACTAGCTTCTTCATGTGGGTCACTGTGCTCCTTCGATGTCCCAAACGGGTTTTCCATTGGCTTGGAGGATGTTTTACTCTTAACTGAAGTTGGCTCTGATGACCAGCTAGCTCCTGAGGTTGACCTGAAAATAATATTATAGGAAGCATAAGCATCATTCCATTTTTCATTTGCGGGTCAGAACAGCATCCATTAAAAGAAAGGAAAACTCAGTTCCAAAATTTCTGAGTGCCTATGAAACGTTCGAATATACTGCTCTATTTAGGCAGTCTCTTCTTCTATAGTATAGTAAAGAAAGTCCAAATGAGGAAGAAAGTAGTGGAGGAATCTCAAGGGGGATTACATAGTTAATAAAGTACAATAATGAAGCAAACTGACAAAGAAAAAAAGAAGAAGAAGAAGGAAAATGAGCCATGAGACTGCCACGATAACATATTTAAGTACAAGGACTTGAAATTTTGTAGTGAATAGAAATGAATTTGTTATTTTTACCAGCAGACAGCATCATTCAAGCCAACCATCCTCGACTAAAGCGAATGCTCAGCTTGAAGATGCTGTTCATGGTCTAATAGCTGATTATTATTTCAAGCGAATAGAAACGAATTTCCGAGTGTGTTCACTTTCCATGGTAAACCCAGAAACGAGGCACAGGTTTGCCATGGAAAATGCTTTCTATTCAAAGCAGATTCTGATATTTCAAACCTACCCCTCGTTTCTAGGTTTGCCCAGAATTTTGTAAATGCTTCATAGGTGGATACTCATCTCATCATGGTTGCTTTAATCTTCTTGGAGATGAGGAAAATAAAATTCTCATTGAAGCAAGCATTAAGAGTTCCATCCTAAAAATCAAATTAAAAAAAAAAAACAAAAAACTAGATCACTTATACAGAATCAAACTTGGCTATGCTCAAACACTTCTTCAATGTGTAATAAAATCATCAAGGTAAGGAGCTTTGTGACTTCCCTAACTTTTAATTATTTTCCTAATCTCTGTGTTGTCAAAAGGACTAATAAATCATCCAATATCTATTTCACTTATCGGATCCCAACAGATGGCATCAAATATGAAAAAACAGGCCTCCCTTCCAGAGTTCAAAAAGAGATCAACCACGCATCTCTTAATTTGGTTCTTTGTAAACAAGATCACACCCAGTTCTTGATCAACTCCTAAATGAAAGCTTTTCTCCTACTACCATTAGCAATTTTGTGAAAGAAATTGGAGTCTTCTCCACCATCTTCAAGCCAATGAGTTCGACATTACTAAGGCCATTGCCTATCTTCTAAGTACATGTCTTGAAGTAGCTCAAGTTTCCATTTTCTCCCAATAGGTGTAAAAATTATATTCATTGCGTGGGGGATGTAGCTCGAGTCACTATCTTTAACTGACTTGGTAAATTTTAACTTTTTCATAGTAGGATCTCCAGAAATCTCCATATTCCATCCCTTCAAACCTTGCTTCAAAATTTTGAGTTTTTCAATTTTAACTCATTCCACCACAGAAGCAATGCCACCTTCTTTTCTAGATTGAGAAGCTGTGATGAGAAAGCCAAAAGTTCTCAGATTTAATAGCATAGGTCCCGAATAAAAGGTACATGTTTTTGGGAAAACTACAAAAAGGATCCATTTCTCTCCTTCCAATAAGCCAAGGAGACTAGCAACCACTCATTTGAGACAAGAAACCCTAATATTGGACTAAGAGAAACAATTGAAAGGCAAACATCCCTCAATGAAAGCTCACCAATGAATTTGTAAAAATGTCTCATATTAAAAGTGATATTTCCTCTAGAAGATTTTTCAAAAGCCCATCTAACAACAATGAATCACCTGTAATGCACCAACAACCATTACAAAGACCATAAAGATCATAATTTTCTGCCAAAAATGATATCAATACCTACCGTTGGCTGGCCAATAAACACCTAAAATCCATCAAGATGTGTTACTATCGAATGAAAACTTTATGAAAAGTGAAAAGACACATACCTCCAAGGACTTCAAAAGCTGAGTGAATTTTCTTTCCAAGGAACAAAAATATCAGTAGCAGCTCCTTCAAAGTTAATGAAAGACCACCCTAGTGAGAAGAAGACTGAATCAAACTGTCTAATAGAATCCCACACCAAACTTCTCCTCTTTCAATTCCAAGGCCTCTAACATACCAAAAAAGAATCTTCACAAAATAGGGGAAAATTCAATTTGCAATGATGACCCAATGACTAAGTCATAGTTGACAGAGGTATTTAGATTTTTTAATTCTCTGCATTATATCCCAAATGCTTTTTTTTTTTTTTTTTTTCTATCCACTAACTTTCTTAATTGATCTCTTCATAGGAATGGTACAGAACACAAGCCTAAATTCTTTAATTGAATGGCATCTGCTCCCAATATTAAATGACTATCTGATAGGGAGGTCAATATTTTGGTCGAAGTGGCCAAGGTTGTAGTTCCCCACAAAGGAAAAAGAGAGCAAATTTATTCCTCGTTTGAGATATTTATGCCTAATACCACTGCAGTTTTGCTATTTGAAATGTTGCCATTGTAATTAGATTCCAAATTTTTCTTGGTTAAATGGAGAAGGACGAGTAAATGTGAAACCATCAATCCCATTTTCTCTTCAAGGAGGTTAAAACCTTGGGAGTATGAACAAGAACTACACAAGGGTACATTTGTCTAACCTTTTAGAGACTCTCTCAACAACAAGGGACTAGAAATCTGGCTTGTTGGTATTACTTCCCAACACAAAACGGAGATAACAAATAGAGGCCAAGAATCAACCAAATAACCGAGTCTCTCAACTTTCCTAGAGACCTCTCGGTTTCGTCTACATTAATATTGACAAGAAGGGTCTTCAGTAGATTAATTTTCATTCATACCGCAAGCTCAAAAGACTTTAGAGTACCCATAATATTATCTAGTTCCATCTCCTCGAAAGGCCCCAAAAACAATGTTATCAACCACACATAGTAAAATGACTCAATTTGGTTATGTTGCTGCAAGTTCTAAGTTCTTTGTCTGATGAGAAAAGGAGAGATGAGATCACTTTGCCTAAGATCTTTCAATGAATTCTACCTCCAGGTTCACCATTAATAAAGACCACGAATTTGGTGATATAAATTCTCCAAGAAATCCAATCCGACCCAAAATCCTATTCAACCAAGTGAAAGGCTTTCTCGAGATCGAATTTCAAGACTCAAGACCGATTAATGGAGTATTTGAATTCATTTCATTTAGCATAAAGTCTTCCATAGAACGCCATGTACTCGGTGCAAAGCAGCCCCACAAAACCATGTTAACCTAGAGTCGGCTAGCAAAAGAAGTCAAGAAGAAACAAGCAATTGCATCAAGAGATGTAAAACTACCAGGCTTAACCAACATGAAATATAGTGGAGACAGTAATAAATCATTCTAAAGTGCCAAATCTAGAAAACTTCCCGAACCCAAATTAATGAACAGGTAATTACAAAGCTTAATTAAACTACAGAACTCTATTTGAAGATTGCACACCATCACCACGTTATACCTGTCACCAGGGGGGCTGCGGCTTCTAAACCCAGGTATCAAATCATCAAAAGCAGGAATTTCTTTATCTTTACCCTGCGTTCCTTTCCCACCCGTACCCTTCGACACACCTTCCGATTTTCCAAATCCCCCAAGAAGATCATCGAATGCTGAATCTGCTTTAGGCGGCGAAGACATAGATGAAAACACATCATCATACTGAACTTTCGACGAGCTTTTCAAGCCCGGAATGCCATCAAAGATATCATCATCATACACAGGTTTATCATAAACCGGTGAGCTCGAAGCTGCCGGTTGACCAGAATTACCAGCCCCATGAAATAAGGAGTCAAAATTAACATCCGAATCACCCCCACGACTCTCCGATTTTCTGGAGAATTTCGCCGACCCACCAAGCAAATCATCAAGACCACCAAATTCGCGATTCTCATGAGCACTCATCGATCGATGAAGCGAATCATGGTCATCGGCGAGAGACCCAGATAAGGAATTAGAGGCCTTAGTCGATCGGAAGGAGCCCCGAGATCCGAGATCGAAATTAGGGGAGGTGGTAGCGTTGATATTGGACGTACCCTTTGGAGCAGCCATTGGGGCGGCTTTACCTTGGGGCTTGAATCCATAATTGGTTGCTAGAAGACCCTCAAAGTCGTTCATAACGATAAGCTAATTACAAACAGAGAGCGATTCAAAAACAAAAACAGCAATCCAGAGAGGAAGAAGTCAAAATTTGAAGGGGGGGAAGGGATCGGCGAAGGAAATGAAAGGAAATGAAGGGATCTAAATTCACCGGAGAGAGAGAGAGAGAGAGAGAGAATGAAGGACCTCCTGCAATGAAGTGCAGAGAGGGAAATGGGCGGCAGAATCAGAGGGAATACAATACAAGAATTAAGCCCTCATTTTTTTGTATCGTGAAAATCTCTCAAAATCAAGATCGGGATGTTCCTGTTGTAAGATAAGATGAGTGTTTTTCATCTGTGGAAATATTCAACAAACCATTAATTATAGAATGCTTCTTCCTTTTCATCTTATATTCACCTTTTAAAATAAGATAATGACTTCGAACTCAAAAATTAATAACGTTAAGATTAACATATATTCTTGTTTCCGTCTCATTAAAAAATTTTCATTCTTATTTTCACTCCATTACTCGTCTTGGATAGTCAGGTTGAAAATCTCTAAGGCCTCGAGACTCAAAAAAAATTTCATTTTTTTTTATTCTAGATTAATTTTAAAAAATCAAAATATATATATATATATATATATTGTATTTATTTATTCAAATAATTGATTTTAAAATTATTTAATATTTTATTATAGTTTAATATTAAAATTATATATAATAATAGTATAACACAAAAGTTGAATTAGAAAAAAAATAATAATAATAGAAGCTAAAAACAGGTATAAGCAACCATGTTATTAATTTTTTTATTCAAAAAAATAAAATGAATTTATTGGGCCGGACTAGGGACCCAAATAGATTTCTCAACGTCGAGTCAAACGGAGGATTTTTCGTTTCTTTTGAGGCAGAGTATCACGGCCATATTTGTTCAAAGCGTGTTATTTGTGGGCGCATATCGGATGTCCCGATCATGTTTATTTAGGACATATTGTCCATGGTTGTATGCTCGTTCCAAACCCTTAACATGTTTTCATGTTAGATAGGTATTTACTATTCTTGTTGTGTCGATACAAGAGTGTATAACCGATCACCAAAATCTCGTCTACACCCATCAGACTAAAATGTCCCAATATGTATTGAGGAATGCGACTAATTCTCAATTTTTCTTTGACTAATTCTCAATTTTTCTTTGACTAATTCTACCAAAACCGTTGTTGCTTATTTGCTTTTAGCTTATAACATTGATTTTTTTCAAATTCTTTTCAACGCATTTCCTCGAACATTTCTTCTAAACGTGACCTGAAGGCTCGATCATACATCAAGGTTGTCTGCAAAGTCTGCTTTCCGTATGGTTGACTTGTTCACCGGGTTTGAATTTTCTTAACTCATCCTTTTCCTACCACAAGTTTCATATTTTAAGAGAAACGATTTGAATTTTTAACCAAATTAATATATATATATATAAATAAAACAAAGAAATCTGCCACCAAAAATAAAATAACATTTATATGCTTAAGTTTTTTAAAATTCCAAAACAAAAAAAGTAATTTACGATAGAAATTGGGCGAATCATTATTAGTATTCACAATTACTAACATTAATAAAACATAATAACGAAACAAAAGTATACACACTAAACCCGAACATAATAAAGCTTGCAATGGTAGCAATTCTATGTTCATACTGATCTTTAGCTATTTTTTAAACAGATAATATCAATTTACGCTTCATTCATAATTTATAAAGATCACTAACTGTTCCACTCGATACCTATGTCCCAATACCTGTAGAACTTTTGTAAACAAATAATATCAACTTACGCATAATTCAATCGATTAAAACATAAATAATTTAAATTCTCAACCATAAGATCACTAACTATTCCACTCGATAACCATCGAGAGATTTCAATTATCAACAGGTTATCGAGAAAGCCCATAAAAACTTTGTTGAAATAATCAAAAACTGCAAACGGTTCTCAAAGTTCATTCTGAATTAGCTCAGAAACTGCAATTTACAGACAATGCTACAAAGAAGGGGAGGAAAAAAGGCATGTGATTGTGTAGCAAGGTTAAATTTGATGCCATAGTATCAACAGAAGCAAAGAACATGTAATACTGAGGCCAGCTAAAATAAGCTGTTATATGGTGTCATAGATCTCTTAGGTCTACAAATTCGGGACTAGATTTCTAAGAAATGGACGGAATTTACAATAATCAAAGCGTGGAACGTCTTTTCAAGACGTTTTAAGTTTTGGGAAATCAGACACGTAACCTTTTTACATCAGTTTCGGGGACGTTGGCATCGCTCCCGTTACCCCTCACGGATCCTATTGATGGCCCCTGCACCTGAACGAACAATATCGTACATAGCATTAGAACCTGTGTTTCTCATCGTATAATTCATTCATATCTTACTCGTAAGCTACGTATATCGGGAGTATCATTCGATAAAGTCACGATAATAGTATTATTTAATAACCTTACTTCAACATGACCTGTTCTATAGGTTGTACAACTTTGTCCTTACGAGCCAGTAACATTAACCCTACTACTTTACTTCTGTGGTAAGAACTTGAGATGTTTGATGATACCCTTCGAGGTCCTACGTCCAAGTCCCCTATTTGAACCTCGGAACTTAAAAACTCTCTCGGAGTTGGTCTCGGAGAGAGCAGAGGCTTTCTAGGGAATGGGACTTTTGGCTCCCAGCACGATGGAGCTTTAACAAGTCCAAGTTTCGACAAACTTTGACACAAATGTCAAGACGAACTTTGGGTTTCTAACTCTACAAAGACTTGCTAGGACTAGGTTTTTAACTCTGAAGGTAAGGATCTTCGGGTCTTTAGCCTACCAAAGCTCCAATAGATCCAAGTTTGGACGCACGAACTTTGAGATGAACTATGAGAAGGACGAACTTTGAGTTTGTAGCCCTCCAAACCTCTAATAGGTCAAACTTTGGTCCGAACGCCGAGACAGACTCAAGAAAGGACGAACTTTAAATTTCTAACTCTCCAAAGCTCGAAAAGGGTCAGAGTTCGGCTCTCCAACAATCAAGTTATTAAATACATAAATGTGTATATATATGGATAAAATTTGAAAAGCTTAATCATATCATCACAATTAGATGTTACCCAGACTTCAGCATAAGAGAGCACCCTACAACATTGACTGATCCCACCAAAATTGAAATGAATTTCTACTTGAAAGTAATAAAATAAGCACCATTCGAGCATCATCTTTCCCATTTCTAAGTTTCAAGCAATTCTTGTAGTAGGTTGCATCCGAGCCATTTAATCAAGCCTTGAACAAGTTCGATTGTGGAGTGACTCAATTTAGAACAAAGTTCCAAATCTTGATCTAAGAAGGTATTAATTTCTTTGATTCAGGTGTTCTTGCTTATCAAGCCTTGAATAAGTTCGAGTGACTCAGTTTAGAACAAGGTTCCAAATCTTGGTCTAAGGAGGTATTAATTTCTTTGATTCAGGTGTTTTTGCTTATCAAGCCTTGAATAAGTTCGATTGTGGAGTGACTCAAGTTAGAACAAGATTCCAAATCTTGATCTAAGGAGGTATTAATTTATTTGATTCAGGTGTTCTTGCTTATCAAGCCTTGAATAAGTTCGATTATAGAGGAACTCAATTTAGAACAAGGTTCCAAATCTTGATCTAAGGAGGTATTAATTTATTTGATTCAAGTGTTCTTGCTTATCAAGCCTTGAATAAGTTCGATTATGGAGGGACTCAATTTAGAACAAGGTTCCAAATCTTGATCTAAGAGGTATTAATTTCTTTGATTCAGGTGTTCTTGCTTATCAAGCCTTGAATAAGTTCGATTATGGAGGGACTCAATTTAGAACAAGGTTCCAAATCTTGATCTAAGAGGTATTAATTTCTTTGATTCAGGTGTTCTTGCTTATCAAGCCTTGAATAAGTTCGATTATGGAGGGACTCAATTTAGAACAAGGTTCCAAATCTTGATCTAAGAGGTATTAATTTCTTTGATTCAGGTGTTCTTGCTTATCAAGCCTTGAATAAGTTCGATTGTGGAGTGACTCAAGTTTGTAGGAGTGAAAGCTTCATATANTCAAGCCTTGAATAAGTTCGATTATGGAGGGACTCAATTTAGAACAAGGTTCCAAATCTTGATCTAAGAGGTATTAATTTCTTTGATTCAGGTGTTCTTGCTTATCAAGCCTTGAATAAGTTCGATTGCGGAGTTCAAGGCTTGATAAGTTAGAACAAGGTTCCAAATCAAAGAAATTAATACCTTCTTAGATCAAGATTTGGAACCTTGTTCTAACTTATCAAGCCTTGAATAAGTTCGATTGTGGAGTGACTCAAGTTTGTAGGAGTGAAAGCTTCATATAACTCGAGCATATAATTCGAAAAAGCAAGAGCAGCAAGTCCAAGTAAATAAAATACGAAACAAATACGTAATTTTTTTAGGATTAAACAAAAGGATTCGCAAATAAAAGTGCTAATGCTACAACCAGTCCATAAATTGTTAAAGCTTCCATAAAAGCCAGACTAAGCAATAAAGTACCTCGGATTTTTCCCTCCGCCTCGGGTTGTCTCGCGATCCCTTCTACAGNAAAAAAAAAAGTTCCATTCGAGATTGGACTAAAAAAGGGAAGGAAGAAGGCGAGTCAGTATGCTAATGCCTCATCCTCCTTATCAAGCCTTGAATAAGTTCGATTGTGGAGTGACTCAAGTTTGTAGGAGTGAAAGCTTCATATAACTCGAGCATATAATTCGAAAAAGCAAGAGCAGCAAGTCCAAGTAAATAAAATACGAAACAAATACGTAATTTTTTTAGGATTAATTTCTTTGATTCAGGAGTTCTTGCTTCAACAAAAGCTTGAATCGTTGGGCTTAGAATTAGGATTGCCTTATCAATTAAACCCCAAGCAATATTATGTGAAAAAAATGAAAAGACCAATTAAAACTAAGCTTACAGGTTCATCAGGAACAATCGCATATCTTTCTATTGGAGACACCCAAGTTTTTCCTGCACAAGAAACAGCACAAGGAAGCAACAAGTTAAATTTTTACATCAAACACATTAGCAGGTGTTGAATAAAGCAGTACCTGAAGATGAATCTAAGTTTGAGGATTCAATATGTTGTCCCCTACAACCATCCACGCTTAAAGCTTCGAGGATCATCGGTGCGTTCCTTCGATTAAAGAACAGATATCATCAGTTCTAATGGACAACTTTGAAGTAGACTAGTTGAAAAAACAAAGGTAAGACATCCAGCTAAAGCAAAAGGAGAGATTCAAATAAGGAAATCCACAAAAGAGTTAAGCCGCCATGCCATATCATGAAACTTACAGCATCTTACAAAGCCAAAAATGAAACTTTTGTTTTATAAGAGCTGAGAT